AACAAAAGGTCAAGACGCAAATGTGTATTAAAAAGAAAAGCCTCTAAATAGGGTTTCATGTGGTGCAGGGTTGTAAACCTGCTTTATCTTTTAGGATTATTCCTAAATGCATCTTCTTTATAAACTTGACTTGCTATATCAGCAAGATAAATTATATTAAAAAATAAGAATTCCGCAATGTTTAAGGAACTCGTCTTTTTAAATCACAGACACCTTGATTAGCAAGAACTAAGGAGACGGCACTTGAGATTGCATTTCCATTGTTTTACTGTCATGTAATTTTAGCTGAAGAGACGGAACCTCATCTAGATAGCTTTTACATGATACAGCAAAGAGCTCATTGCAATACTGTCTTAAAATAATGTCTCAGCACTGGGTGTTAAAGGCACATAGCTGCTAGGATCCAGGGGTAAAAGGAAACTTCAGAACATTGGGGTTTTAACTGACTGTCCAGCCTAGCCATCAGTAACTCCTGTGCTCACCAGGCCCCAGGCCCTGGTGAGGGAGACTCCATGGTGGCACTGTGAATTACAGATTTGTTTATCAGCTTTTTTCTTTCCTTCTTCTATTTATTTAAATTGATCAACCTCCCACAAACTGAGGAATGAATTCCATAAGCCTATTTTGAATGTGGACCTAAGACAAACACTTACTCATCCTTTAGTGGAGTTCACCAGCACACTTGTTCTCCAGTCCCACATGCTTCCGTCTTTTTTGTGTGTAATAAAGTCAGCTGACCAAGTGACCACAAAGGGGGCTGCCTGGGGCTCCTGTTTCTTAGCTGCTGTTCCTCGTCAGCTCCGACCATGTTGCTGTGTGATTATCTCAATTGGTTTTAATTGAGGCAGAAATTGAAGCTCTACCAATGAACTGTTTAAAAACAAGACACACTTTTGTATTAAAATTGCTTGCAGTAACAAATGTTTTGTAATTCCTGACTTTATCCTGAACCACTTTATATTTAAATGTTACCCCTAAGACATAAAAATGTTTGTAGTACTTAAATACATCATTCAGCAAGAATTTTCTTGATGGAAAAAATCATAGAACTCATTTTTTCTTTATTTTACCCTCGTTAATTTTAACGAGGCACCAAAGAAATGGGTTGTTTTCACACAAATACGTAGAGGCCCTGTCCACCTATGTGATTCAACAGATAGTATGTGAGCTTACCATGGGATGGGCAGACTTGCTCAGTATGATGAAATCTCTGTTACTTGGTGGAACTTCACAAGCTAGAGTATACCCTGCTAACCTTGAGACCACTGTGTAGGGTGGAAAGAAATGGACATGTGAGGCCGTAGCACAGAAAGAACCCTATTCTAACTAGCTGGCCAGATGCACCACACAGCTGATTCCTGGGTGGCTGATGTGGGAGATGGGTAATTGTAGACTGGCCCCCTCCTTACAGGGGACACACGTTGCCTGCTGCTTATCTAGAAAGGTGTCTTGCTGTTATGTAAATCTCAGGAGCCATTACTTCCTTCACTGTCCTTGAATTTACTAGTTTGCCCACATGTCCTCTTGTCATAGTCCACAATGGACAAGGTAGAGGAGATAGCTGCCCTGAGACCCTCTTGCTAGTTTCCAGACTGGAAGAAAAACACTAATTGGAGAAGATGTGTCAAGTGACGTTGAGCCCACTAAACATCTCAATTCTGGAAGGCAGTTCATTCTGATTATAGATGAAGAAGCAGGTATACTCAGGAGATCACAGTATGAGGCCACTGGTGAAGGCTTCTGGAGTTGAGTCTTGGGATCTGTGAGGCCTCTGCTTCCTCCAGTTCCTAGCTGGCCCTGACATGACTAGAACTAGCAGATACTGACATGAATAATGAGAACTCAAGGAGTTCAAACTCAGATCTGTGTTCTTACTCTTCAGGCCACATGACCCTCTTAGAATTCCAGAATTTGGTAAGATGTAAATGTGTGTTTGGTAAAGCTACATAAGGCCACATGTCCAGACATAAGGGCATATATAGCCTAGTGTGTTCCACACTTACTCTTTTTTGGAATTGGGTGACCTTAAAGCTATCAACTTGCTACTAGAGAGTTGGCCCAGCTGTTAAGAGCACTTGCTGCCCTTGGAGAAGACTTGAGTTCAGTTCCCAGCATCCATATAATGGCATACAACCACCTGAAACCAGGGAATTGCCTAGTTTCCATGGATACCTATACCTGTGCACACATGCACATACCCACGTGCTGGAGAGATGCTAAGAGCATTTATTTGCCGCTCTTCCAAAGAACCTGGGTTTGCTCCCAGAATCTTTATCAGATACCTCCCTAGGCATCTGCACTCACATGCACATACCTACATGTGACACACCTACTCATTTTGTTTTTGAGACAAGTCTCACTATATAGCCTTGGCTGTCCTAGAACTCACTAGGTAGACCAGGCGGGCCTTACACTGCCACTGTCTCCCAAATGATGGAACTAAAGTTGTGTGCCACCACAACCAGCTTTACGTACACATAATTTAAATAGATTTGTTTTTAATTTAAAATCTTTTTCTGAGAAAACTATTGGAACTTAGTGTAAGATAGTGCTTTCACCCAAATTGGCTTCAGCTTCCTGGTGCCCAGCAACAGGAGCATGTCAGGAATGGCTAGCATCCGTCTTTCCAGCCCAGACTATCTGTTCTTATTTTCTTCCCAGATTTCGGTTCTCTAGTGTTCATCGAAGCTCTGCTGGCAGGTGGGAGTGGGGAGCACCTGAAGAGGTGGCGAGGGGATTCTTAAGCTAAGTTCCCAGCACCCATGTAAGGTGAAGAATCCAACGCCTCTAGTCTCTAAGGACATAAGCATTCATGTGTGCACACACAATTAAGATAAATCTTTTACAAACAAAGGCAAAAGCTGGGTGATGGTGGTGCATGCCTTCAATCCCAGCACAGACAGAGGCAGGAAGATTTTTGTGAGTTCCAGACCAGCCTGGTCTACAAAACTAGTTCCAGGACAGCCAAGACTACACAGAGAAACCCTGTCACACACACACCAGACCAGCCTGGTCTACAAAACTAGTTCCAAGACAGCCAAGACTACACAGAGAAACCCTGTCTCACACACACACACACACACACACACACACACACATACACACACACACACACAAAAGAGCTCAGTAGCACCACAGAAAGCTTTTTTCAATTTAATAAGAAGCTGTGTGAGACATGGGAAATAGGAAGGAAGGGGCTTAAAATACTACAGAGATTGACAAGGTGGATCAGGAGTAAAGGTGCTGGCCACACATGCCTGGAGACCTCGCTTTAATCCCCAGAACCCACACAATCATCCTCTAACCTCTCTCTACACGAGCCTCTCCCCATGATAACAGTTCTGAGATGTGACTCAAGAGATGCGTGTGTGATGGCCAGTAAGGCAGTTCAGCGAACAGAGGTGCTTGCTTCCAAGGCTAATGCCCTGAACTCGACCCAGAACCCACAGGGTAAGAGAAAACCAACTACTCCCACAAGGTGTTCTTGACCTCCACACCTGACATGATCATGTGTGTGCACACACAAAGAAACTTTATCCGCCTTAGTCTTTCTGCTGTTCTGGGGTTCCACTCACAGGAACCCACCTCCTCTTCCCAGCACACCTACTCTGCCCTTTCAGAAACTTTCCCAGCTTTCATTCTGCCTTTGAAATGACCGAGTTCACAGATAGTCAACCCCTTTAGAGCGGGTTGCTCAGAAATGGAGTCTTGGTTCAGGGTCCAATACAGAACAGCCCACCATGACCGTTGACAAACTGAAGTCTGGGTGTGGGCTCTTGGTAGCTGTCTAAACCCTGTTTTACTTTACAGGGACATGAAGCACTGGAAAGTAGGTGGCTAGCTCCTAAACTGAGATGATTGATCCCCCACAAACACCCACTAAGGACCAGTCCCATACCGGGCAGCGGTGGTGCACTCCTTTAGCCCTAGCATTTGGGAGGTGGAGGAAGACAGATCTCCATGAGTTCGAGGCCATCCCGGTCTACAGAGTGCGTGCTAGGACAGGCTCCTGAGCTACACAGAGAAACCCTGTCTCTAAAAAGGAAAACAAAAACAAACAAACAAAAAAAAACAGTCCCAAGCTGGGCTGCTTGTACTAAGTAGCCTGGTAGCCCAGCATTGTCTAGAATGCAACTCGAGAATCACAGGTGGAGCGGGAGGGTCTTGGTGGTGTGGTGTGGCCTCTGGTACAGAGGGCACCCAGGGTTCAGAGGAGATGGGGGGGATCTGCGAGCAAGAGACTCAAGAGTTCCTGAGCAAAAAGTATATGCGGACCATCTTACTGACTCCACAGTCATCAGGTATGTGCAGACCATCTTACTGACTCCACAGTCATCAAGCCCTATGGAATCAGCCCCCAACCTTCACCCCAAACTTCACCCCATCATTGTCAGTCCCCTCCCCTATTACTATGTTTCTCTCCATCTTCAGCCCCTGACTGTCTCCCTCCCACCCACACATCCCTTGGCACTCTAGCTCTAACCTCAAGGAGGGCAGTTTGGTAGGCTACTTGGCAACATTATCCTTAGAAGTCCAGCATTTTCCCCTTTTCTTCCTTCTATCCATTTTCCTCCTCCTTGTTCTGTTTGTTTTTATTTTGAGCCAGGATCTGACTACATAGCTATGAAGCCAGCCCTGGCCTTTCTGGAACTATGTAAACTATTCTGACCTTGAGTTTGCAGTGATCTTCCTGCTTCCCCAGTGACTCTTCATGGGGGCTTAGAAGCAGTACAGAAATTGACCTGTTGGGTAAAAGACAGACTGCCAATGACTACTCCAAGAATTTAGTTGATACTTGAAACAAGGCTGGACAGATGAGATGGCTCAGCAGTTAAGGGGACCTGAGGACAGGTTCCAGAGTATCAGGTGGCTCAGTAAGGGCAGTAATGCCAGTCCCAGGGGGTCCCCTGTCCTCTTCTGACCTCAGAAGAGAGGACACTGTACACAGGAAGTGCACACATTTAAGAAAAAGCAAACTTTCAAAGGATCACCTCTGCATATTTTGGTGAGCATTATACATTTATTTGGATTTTTATTTTGAATCCACACTGAGAATCCATGCCTGGCCCAAACCTTCAGGTAGTGCCACCTGCAGGGCCCTTTATGGTCTCCTGGAAGCCCCTCCTGCAGCCTCTGCTAACCTCCAGCTCTTCAGTTCCACTGTTGTGCGGCACTTAACCTCTGTGTGCCTTGGTTTCTCCATCTGTTATGAAGAAAGGTTTTCCGATACACTGTAGTGCATGCCTTAATCTCAGGTGTAGGCAGACATACCTCTATGAGTTTGAGACCAGCTTGGTCTATAGGTGAACATCCCAAGTCAGCCAAGGCTGCATAGTGAGAACCTGCCAAAAATAAAAGAAAAAAAGGAAGGAAGGAAGGAAGGAAGAAAGGAAGGAAGGAAGAAAAAAGACCGCTGTGTGCCCCTTAATGGCATATGAACACTAACAATAACCCTGGAAGTGCTGCTACCTGCTATTATGACACTCCCAGCCTTGACACAGTCTTTCCCTCTGCTGGGCCCTTTCCTCCCACTGACTTCCGGAACCTTTACGACGAGATGTTGATGCTGTGGCAGCAGCCAGGGGAGACGGGAGTGCAGAAAGGGGTGTAAGTTAGGGAGTTTTCCCCAGGTACCTTTCTTGAAAGCTGCTGGAGGCTGTCACAAATGAGGAGCTAAGCAAAGGTGGCCCCCTTTCGGGAGACTCCAGAGCCCATCCCGTGTTGGATCGGCAACAGGATCAGCCGAGTTTAGGCGCTTGGCACCCGAAGAGTAGCGGGGGCTGGGTCCTGGTTACTGCTGGCAATAGAATGTGCCCCACCCTCGCGGCACATCTGGCACCAGTCCAACCCAGTCCGCTGGAACTATGTTCGGGCTCCATGTATGTCGCTATGCCTAGGAGAAGGGCGACACTGCGGGTCCCGCCGCTGCACGGGGACTCAGGACCCCACCCGCCCCCAGGGCTCAGGTACCTGCTTCAGAGACCCTGACGTCTCCGCGCGGAGCCTGGCGTGCGCCTCGGAAGCTGGATGGGGACCCAAGGACACCCTTGAAGGCCTTTCCCCAAGCGGCCCACTACCTATCTCGGGGTCGCACCAGGCGCTCCCACCACTCGGAGCAGCAGTAGCAGCGTAGGCACCCCGCGGGAGCCTGTCCGCGTTCGGGTCCGCCCCCAAACCCCCATTGGTTGGTCTGGGAAGGGGCGGGCCGAGGAAGCGCTCGTTGGTCTGTGAGGCTACAGGAGGTCCCGCTCCGGACACTTCGGGGGTCCGCACCACGGGAGCCCAAGTTGTTCTGCAGGACCTACGGGCTCAGGGACCGCTTGCAGAGCGCGTGGTACGCAGTCGCTGCAGAACTGCCCGCGACAGGTGCAAACTCAGGATCCGCTGCGCGGTTCGGTCCTCGCCATCGGGTGTCGCGGGTGGATGCGAGTCCGCTGAGCGTCCGAGATGGCCGTGCGTCCCGGGCCGCTCTGGCTGCTGGGCCTGGCTCTGTGCGCTCTGGGCGGCGGCCACGGGCCACGTCCCCCACACACCTGTCCCCAGCGTCGCCTGGGAGCGCGCGAGCGCCGAGACATGCAGCGAGAGATCTTGGCGGTGCTCGGGCTACCTGGACGGCCCCGACCCCGTGCGCCACCCGCCGCCTCCCGGCAGCCAGCGTCCGCGCCCCTCTTCATGCTGGACCTGTACCACGCCATGGCCGATGACGACGACGGCGGGCCCCCTCGGCCTCACTTGGGCCGCGCCGACCTGGTCATGAGCTTCGTCAATATGGGTGAGTGCGAGGAGAGCCCGGGGGGGGGGCGCAGTCTTCGTGCGGAGTGGGCAGGGCCGCCTGTCTGGGGATGAGATCCTTGGGTAGTGCAAGGCTCCCTAAGACAGGAAGCCAAGGTACAACAGAATCACAGGGAAGAGGCAACTGTAGGATTCGAGGCTGGAAGGTCTGAGGGCTAGCGCGGTTTCCCAGGGTCTTTGCCCACCAAGGCGCCCAGGAATGGGAATCTGGTGATGATACCCAGGTCCCTAGGCCCAGGTCCCCGGAAGACGGTTGGTCCTGGGAAGACTGATGAGTAAACAGAGGCTGTGATGCTGTCATTGTGATAAACGCAGCCCTGAAAAGAGGGACAAAGTTCAGTGTAGAAACCTGTGATCATATCATCAAAGTGACCATAGCTGACCCACACGCCCTGACGGCAGGTCCTTTCTCTACATCAGGAAGCGGGTGGGTGGGGTGCACTGTCAGGAGGCTGGAGTGGACAGACTCAGACCATGACTGTAGTTTTGTGGGACTGGGCCCCAGTACCTGGACCTTGGTCTGGCATGGAATGAGTGTTCAGGCCAGTGAATGATCCAAGGGGCAGCTGTGAGTCCACTCTCCTAAATTGTAGCTCTTCCTCTTTCCATGGGTCTCTAGACCTCAGGGCCACCTTTTATAGTCTTTTTTTTAATGTATGTGCATGAGCGTTTTGCCTGCATCTATGTCTCTGCACATCCGTGCCTGATGCTGGAACAGGCCGGAAGAGGGTATCCAGGGTCTGGAACTGGAGTTACAGACAGTTGTGAGCAGCCATGTGGGTGCTGGAAAATCAAATCCAGGCTCTCTGGAAGAGCATCCAGTGCTCTTAACTCCTGAGCCATCTCTCCAGCTACACCCACCACCTTTAAAAATATTTTCTTTTATGTATATGAGGTTTTGCCTTCATATATGTTGTGTGTACTGTGCGCATGCAATGACTCGTGGGGGCGGAAGAGGGCGTCAGATCCTCTGGGACTGGAGTCAAAGATGATAGGAAGTCATGAGCAGCAGCAGCAGGTGCTCTTAACCACAGTTAAGCCATCGCTCCAGTCCCAACCTCCAATAGTCTGAAAAGCAATTTCCAGAACACCCTTTCATCTCAGTTGGTCAGGTCCCCACCTGCTTTGCTGATGTTTGTGGTGGGTGGGGGCCTGGGCAGGCACTAGGCTGGGTCAGTCTGAGTACCAAGCCTTGAACTGAGAGCAGGAAGAGGGCTTTTCCATGGTCACCAGTCCCTGCACTGCATAGCTTAGCCTCCTGGCAGCCCCGCAAACAGCTACAGTCTCTCCTCTCATTGCCCAGGGATGGCCGGGGAGACATAGAGAAGCAGTGACTGCCCTGACATAGCTCTGTATCCAGTGCTAGGTTGGTGATATTCCTTCCAAGATGGGGAGCGCTTCTGAGAGGGTCTGGGCAGAGGAACACAGTGGACTGGACAGCAGGCTGTGTATCCTTAGCCACTTGTTTTCCTACCTGAAGGCGGGAAGAGAGGGCACCCAAGCCTCTCTTCCCCATCCAGAGCTGGTAGTGGCTGGGGTAGGGTAGAACATAGCGAGAAGGTAGCTATTCAGCCAGTAGCCCAGCTTCAAGGAGGGACTGTCTTTCTGCTTCGAGGGCAGGGTGGGGACTTAGGACGGACCACATGTGGGGCTGTAACTGTGTCTCCATCCTTAGGACAGGCTGACCCAGGGCTTAGGACTAAGAACTAAGGATAGAGTTGCCCAAGAATGTCCCCAGAGGAGCTGCTGATCAGAATGAGTCACCACCCAGCCCATGTTCTGCGCCCCACCCCCATTCTCTGGGCAAAACATGAACAGCTCTGGTGGGAACTGGTGCTGCTCTGCAACTTCAGGAAGTCTCCTGTCTCTGAGCCTAACATCTGTCCCTTTAAATGGGACTCCTTGGCCAGGCATGACGGCACACAACCTTAACTCCAGCATTCCGGAGGCAGAGGCAGGTGGATCTCTATGAGATCCAGGACAGTCAGCCAGAGCTATGTAGTGAGACCCTGCCTGAAAATAAATGAGTAAATGGGACCCCTAGTGACCTGTTCTCAAGGTTAGATGATTCACAGATGATCAAGAACAGGAACACAGCCTCCCTTCACTTAGAGTGTGACCCGGGGCCCGGCCACTGCCGGCCCCCAGTGTGAACAGGAATCAGGCCGCTGCCAACCCCTAGCCCTTCCACATGCAGTCCAGCTTTGCAAATAAAGCAATAAAACCTATGTGACTACATGTGGTGAATCACAACTGTAAACCTAACACTCAGGAGGTTGAGGCAGGAGGGTTGCCACAGCTTCAAGGCCAGCCTGGGCTACATCTTATGTTTAAAGCCATCCAGAGCATCAGAGTAACAGCAGACCCTGTTGAAAGAAAGTAGGAGGGAAGGAGGGAGGGAGGGAAGGAGGGAGGGAGGGAAATTAGCCCTGTGTATCTGTGTCTCATGCACACTGAAGCCCAGAAATAGATTCTAAAAGCCAACCAAAGGCTGTGTTACCCTTTGACCTTTACATTCTTCTGTTCCTCATTTGGTTGGGACAACAGCTTGTGAACCTGTTTTACCATCCTGTTTCATAGTCCCAGAGAGGATAAATAGCAGGACCAGGGACACACAGCATTTAGGTAACATCCACGTTGATGGTTTCTAAACCCCATTTCCCCCACACTGCCTGACCCCCGCCCCTGCCCCCAACCACTGCCTGTAGGATCTCTGGGATTATCCACAGGACTCTGCTAAATGCAGATTCAGGGTAGGTGACCCAGCAGAGCATTGTCTTCATTTTGGCACACTTGCCACACTAGTGAGCTGTCCCAGCCAGAGTGATGCGTGTTTGTTTTTTCAAGACAGACTCTCACTATGTAGCTCTGACTGTCCTGGAATTCACTATGTACACCAGGCTGGCCTTGAACTCACAGAAGTCTGCCTACCTCTCCCTCGTGAGGGCTGGGATTAAAGGCGTGAGCCACGATGCCTGTCTTAGAATAATTCTTCATCTGCTGATTACCAGGCCCGTGTGTCAGACACATGCCTGATGCCTTCTGTTGCCAAGCCCAAGCCCAAGCCGGAAGGAAGGTCAGGGCCCGGGAACCTGCACACCAAGGACAGCAGCAGCATCCCAGGATGGCAGTGGCTGTGACCCTATGGAGCAGTGTGACAGCATACTCCTGTCCCTGTGCTTGAAGAAGGGAGAGCCCTGAGCTAAGCTGGTCTCAGCACCAGACCCAACTCTTGTCCCCTCCTGATCCACCTCAGCCCCTACTCGTCTCCATCACTGTGTCCTCCCTTCTGTGGTTCTCTGTTTCTTGTTGGTGTCTGCAGTGATAGTGTCAGAAAAATGAAATGCCTCCCAGCCATGATGCTTGGCTCTGTTTCACTGACACCTGCTGTCCTCACTGCCCCATTCCTGGGCTGGGTGGCCTCAGGCGCTCCTGTCCTTCCTAAGGGCAAAAGGGGTCAGGAAGGACCAGCTCTGCTTACGTCTGTTCTGGATGGGGAAACTGAGGCACAACCAGCACTGACAGACAGAGTCCAGGCAGGGCCACATGGAGCCATCTACATGTTCATCGGTCCCTTTCCAAGCCCAGGAGTTTTCATTCCTGAGGCCTCAGTTAGCTGAGGGCAGGGCAGGAGCAGCGGTGAGCTGTGGTGGCCAGATCTGAGGGAGTGAGAGACCTGGCCTTCATGCTCATTTAAAACTCAGACCATCCACATCAGATATCATGTTCCCCTGGGAATCCTGATTCTACCAGCCCGTGCCCCTAGGCAACTGCTGTGATTCCTATCACCAAAGTCTCCCCTGGTCTGGCTCTAAGCTTCATAGAAATGGGGGGATTATGCAGTGTGTGGCCACCCTCGTGTGCTGTATTAACCCACTCCATGAATTTCTCTGAGAGTCACCCACATTCTTGTTTCCATCATTTGTAACTTCTGAGTTGCATGAATGGCCCACAGATGACACTTGTTCATTTTATCATTAATGGAGATTTGGTTGTGAATAAAGCTGTTCTGTGTCTGCAGTTCCAGGTGCTTAGGTGCCCCAGGCTGGAGGATCCTGAGTTCGAAGCAAGCCTAGGACACTCACTGAGGCTCTGTCTCAGAGAGAGAGAGAGAGAGAGAGAGAGAGAGAGAGAGAGAGAGAGAGAGAGAGAGAGAGAGAGAGAGAGAGAGAGAGAGAGAGACCAGGCCTGGAGAATTGGTTTAGAGTACAGAGAACTTGCTGCTCTCCCAGAGGACCTGATTTGGTCCTCAGCACCCATGTCAGATGGCTCACAACCCCTGTTACTCCAGCTCTAAGGGGATCTAAGTACTCTGGCCTCTGTGAGCACCTGCACTCCAGTGTGCATACCCACATATAGACAGATGATGTGCATATATACAATTACAAGTAATAAGAATAAATCATTTTTAAAAAGAAAAGATGAGGGTTGTAGCTTGGTGGTGGAGCCCTTGTGTGTTAGGCCCTGAGTTTAAGCCAGTACCAACAGGAAAAGTATCTCCTCATTCTCGTCCATCTCGTGTGTGTGTGTGTGTGTGTGTGTGTGTGTGCACGCTCGTGCATGCACATACATGTATGTACATGAGCACACCCTGGATATCAGATTTGAGGTCTTTCCCTTCCTAAGCAAATGCCCTTACCACTAAGCTTCACCCACGTCCGCCTCCATTTTTAGAGACTAGATAAGAAACTTCACCCCTGTTTTAAAAGAGGTGGGCAAGATTTCCACACACCTGACCTAGCCCAACTCTTCCATCCTGAGGAGGCAAGCTCCCCCATGATGAAGTCCCAGCCTGCATGGTACATCTCCTAGGGTGCTAGGCTTTCTCTGCCTGAGTTGGGGTCACAGACAGCCCTTCTTTCTCTTTGTCCTTGGGAAACAACTTAGAAATGACCCAAATGGGATTCCCCATGGCCCTCCCTCACCCCACCATATGCCACAGCCCCTGTGGGCAGGCACTCAGGGCAGGCTGGCAGAGGG